CCAGAATTGCCATTAAAAATGACATTGTCACAAGCAAGCTATCCTGAGAAAAGTATCCTTGCCTGCAGCTTTTTGTAAAGGTGTGTATTCCTGCAGTCATCTTTAGTTCCTTGCTACACCACACTGGCTGCTGCAGCCCCTGATATAATTACAGAAAGATACAAGTAAGTAGAGCACAAATAAATATGTATTTATTAGATGGAAAAGGTTCTGAAGATTTCTTACTGTTAAACAGAGTTTTGATGGTCCTTAGTTAAAATGACTTTTTGTTTTACAAACATGTAGAATAAAAATGGAAGCATGACCTACACCTGCTACCCTGCTCAAAGACGATTATTTGGAAGTACGTCACAATGTGGTACAGCTTTGACCAGTTTTGAGTGCAGACTTGAATAGGAAGACACAGTCAGTCTTTGAATGAATTGTACTTTGGCTGATGTCAGACTTGGACATTGTCTGGCATCAAGTCAGACTGAAAAATGTCCGCCTAAGCAGTTTCTTTCTTTCTATCTTTTTTTTTATAATAGCTATAGCTGAATAAATATAGATTTTGAAGTGCAAGTTCTTCTCTAATGATGACCATTTAATAGAAAAATCTTAACAACATCTATTTACTCATGCATTTGGTGCCATGCTTTTTAGTTTATGAAAAAGTTTTAATACCCTTGTCTAGTGAGGTAGACCTGCGCATCACATGAGTTCTCTGCAAGGCAAAGTAAACAAGTTACGTTTTCTTGAGAAGGAACAAAAACTGATTTAAAAAACTCAGACCACTTACCTGAATAGCAGGTTAATTTGCATAGTCGTAGCCATTCCCCCTTTGCACTTGGCAGGCGTGGGAGAGATGCTGCAGCCATGTGTGCTGGCATTTCGGCAGTGAGCATGTTCCCAGGAAGATGGAACTGCCTGTTCGACATAGGAGTGTGAGCTTTACTGAACATGCTGCTGATTGTGCCAGACAACTATTCATGAGCAGATTAACTTTGTGTTCCTCAAGCAAAGAACTGTTGTCACTGTTTCTTTCTTCTGAGCCGTTTCTGACTTGTCTTGAGCCAGCAGCGTGTCTTCTGGTTTCATTTGCATGTTCAAAGAATGAGATTGAAACTCGTTTTCAAACTGAAAAAACCCACATCTTTTTCATGTATGCAGTTTCTTGCCCACAAGTTCATTGAAATGCCTGGGTATTACATTGCAAAGAAGGGAAGGGTAATTTAGTATACTGGGTCTCTAATTGCTTGTTTTGTTTGAAGATGTCTCTTACATGTCATCCTTTCTCAAATGTGTTTTCTTGTTACTTCTTATTTCTCTTGGTGCTGAAATGTCCACTGTGTTGTGTAAGGAGATTGTGATGTCCTTAACATCAGCTTTTAACAGCACCTGTAGTATTTCATTCTAAGAAGTAGTCAGCTCAAAACCAAGCTGAAGATGTTAAGCAAATGCATCAAAATTTGAGAAACCTGGCCAAAAGTTCTGTGGTCCCGTGGACAGATGCCCAATAGCTGCTGCTAGAAACCTGTTTTTAATGCTATGAGTGGTAGATGAGAGAAAATGTAGGAGAGGATTTAAACTGTCTCCCTGTATAGAGTGTCTTTAAAAAAAAGAAAAAAAAAAACCTGAAACTGAATTGGCAGTTTGGGATTCGTGATGGAGAGTGAAGGAACGAAGGATCCTCTTCCTTCCTGGAAAACCTTAGGCTAGCAGTACATATTTCTTCCTTTAAATAACTTCTGTAATACATCCCTCAGGTAAGATAGGAGTGATTTTTTAAAGACTTCATATTTCCTGGGAGGGTTGTAAGAAGTAAATGTCATGCTTAATTCCACCTTTCCCCTGTAATTAAAACAGCCAAATATACGTGTTATCTTTTCTGGACTAAAACCAAGACTGAAAAATGTCAGTCTAAGCAATTGTTTTTGTGGTTTCTTTGTTGGTTGGTTGTTTTTTTTTTTTTTTTAATACTAGCTATAGCTGAATAAATATAGATTATTTTAAAAATGCAACTTCTTCCCTAATGATGACTATTTAATACAAAAATCTTAGCAACATCTATTTACTCATGCATTTGGTGCCATGCTTTTTAGTTTATAAAATTAATGTAGTTTATGTAAAGCTAGTCCCATTCCAGTTATTGTCTTATTAATGTGAACGTAGAGATGCGGAGAAAGTTCCTGTGCTCAAACAAGTAACTGATTTTGGTCTAGCAGGTTTGAGCAGCCATACAGTAACACCCTAACAAGCAGAAGACAGATGGTTCTGTTTTCCCCACACAGGTTCTGATAATTCACAGATGAGCTGTGAAAATACTGTTACTGATTTCTCTTTGGCGTGGGTTTTTGTTAGTTTACAAGTCAAGCAGTAATTGAGGGGAGGGGGGTTTTGATTTTGGTTTGGGGTTTTTTTTTTTTTTTGGAAACAAGCAGAGTCAGGTAGTATGTGCTTTCCTGTTGGTTTCATAACCCTATCAGGAGAGTAAAACTCCGAGGTAACATCTCATGCTGATAAAGCAGTTGACACCGTGATTTTGCCTTCAAGAGGTTTAAGACCAAGACCTGATATTTACCTGACACTAGTGAGTGCTTCCCCTGAAACTGTCAAGACTTTTCTTGGCTTTTTGTCTTTATCTAGCAGTTGTTTTCCACTTGGTTGCAAGGTGGTGGTGGTCAACAGGTATCCTTCCATTAAAGGACTCTTGAGGTTGTTCTCAGGAGACATCTGAGTGTGCAGTTGTTGTTCCCTCTTAAAACATTTCTCTTAATGTGACATAGGCCTTGTGAGGTGAGCCAGCAGCATTTTCATCTTCACTGGAGGAAAAAGATACCAATCCTTAATATTCCCTGTAAAAAAGATGGCAGACTGGCTGTATACCACTGTGTAGAGTCTGTTCATGGGATTAAATCACATACTGTCTGGCAAACTCCTGTCTGTTTTATTTTTTTTTTAATGAAAAGTGGCAAATAAAATGGCAAACTGTGAGGGAGGGGAGAGCGATGGCCTGTGTCAGGCGATGGTCTCCTTTTGTCCGATGTTCTTTGGAATAGAATTTTCCTTTTTCTTCAATCTTAGAAGGTGTATACCGAGTCTTTACAAATCAAAGAGTATAACCATATTTAGAGTTGAGGTTAAAAAGGAGTGAAGCAGGAATACATACCGCTTGGAAAAGCAGATTTCATTGCATGTTATTTGCAACAAATTATATATATAACTATATACGAAAGGGAGTCCTTGGAGTTCATAGCCACTTTTGTACATTGTTGGCATTTTGAACTAAAATTTGTTTGGCCACCCCTGAGAACTGCATCTGTAATAAGAGTAAAAACTTAGGATCAAAATGAGAAATAACCATATATAGCCTTTGGCAACAGCATATGGAATAACACTCTCTATTCCTTTGCCAGTTTTGCTTTCCTTTCTGAAACGTCTGCTCTGTATTGGTGTTTGCTGTGAAAATTACCCATGTGTTCATTAAGCGCATTAAGGAGGGAGGCAAAAGGAGCTAGTCGAAAGGAAAAAAACTTTTAGAAATTTAGAATACTTAATAAAGCGAAAAGTGAACGTAAGTTTTAACTGTTCTCTGAGGGCCCCTGGTGAACGTCCATACAAAGGCTGGAAAATCTGCTTCGTAAAGATAAGAGCTTTCAGTTTCGATAGGTTGGTCGAGGTGCAGCTCGCCTTGAGCATTTCTCATGCCACAGATGCTTTGGCTTTAGAAAAATTTTTAAGCTTGTTTTCTCACCAAGTCCCTGTCACTGCTGCGTTCTCCATTGTTTTCTGGCTTGGTGCTGTCGGAGAGGAGGATGGTGCAAGGGAAGAGAAGTTTTGCTTCTCATTAGCCTGCAGCAGTTTGTCCTTGGGTGTGTATAGATGTGTATATGTATAGGAACAGTAGAAACTCAGGCAGCTACCCTCCCCCCAGCCCTCTGAAAAGACCATAGTGGGGAAAGCAGGAGGAGTTTGGCCAGAGGCAGGGCGCTGTATGTGAGTGGGTTGGGATGGAGAGGGGGGATAGTGGAGGAACACGTTACCCCAGCTCCACTTTCATCCCTGGGTGTGTCAGTGTGCTTCTGGATGCTCTAGCCTGGCTCCCCTGCACCCCTTCAAATAAATATTTGTAGAAGAAACAGTGGTTAGTGCATCCCATTTTTCTGGTTCTCTTCTCAATTTAACTTGGCTCTCTGCAGAACAGATCTTTTTAAGCTTCCTTATTTCGTTCTTTGGGAAAGACGGTATTGTACACAGAAAACAGCAGTGCTGTCACTGTGGGCTCTACAAGGCCTGTCATAAAGTTGACACATTCAGATTTTGTGTTCAATGCTTTATTCGGGCCTTCAGGGTAATGCTGAGCATTTGAAGCACTGCAGTAGGCTTTCATGGGCCAGATGTGGAGTGCAGGGTGCCAGATTTGGAGCTCTATATGAAGACATCGCTTTATAATCCCTCCAACTCAACACCCTGAATGCTTGCCTTGCCTTAGGTGACCCAGCAAAAACTTAAAAATGTTTTCAGTGAAGGCCAGTGCACCCTGGAGCTGGAGGATGTGCCGCTTGCCAGCTCTGATGCAAAGCAGCAGCGTAATGCCACCCCGCGGTCTGGGAGTCAAAGCTTGCAGGGGGATCGGAGCACACACCGCAGCACTCGTTGGAATTTGGTTATGGGTCCTAGGTGTGACAGGTAGTTCTTTCAAAGTGAAGGTCTCATCTTTAATAGTGTTTTTATTTGCATATGCTGAATGCTAGTTTGGTACAGGCATACCGTATTTCTTACTGAATGCACCTTTTGCTGGGCACTGACACATAGTCCTACTCAAAAACCTGTTACTGGAGAAAACTTTTTGCTGGAGGGAGTTATCGCAGAAACTCTGGAATGATGTGTGGCTTGCTTTGTGTGGACTTAGTGCATCAAATACTTTGTCGTTTTTTGAGTTTGCTGTGAAAGCATGGCCCATGCTGTTCCAGATCTTTCTCTTGTTCAAATTCCAACCTGACTTTTACGGTTTCTTGCAGGCCAGCCCTCCAGATCTCTATATTGAAAGATTTAACGTAGCTCTTGGACAGTATATGGGAGCATTGCAGAGCATTGTGCCTCTTTTCATATATATGGTAAGTTTTAGAAAATTCTTTTCAAATAAAGTATGTCCCTACACAAGATGCTGACTGAAAGTGAAAAGAATAAAATGCAGCTTTAATGATTTTTAATTTGTAGAACTTATGATTCATGCCTGATTTTGCTACAGTGCTGATCAAGTTGTGTGGGCAGAGGAAGGGGAAGCTGTGCTTTTAAATGTAGAGTTTTGCAGTTGGTTTCTGCCCTAGGTATTTCTTTCCTGGGAGCGGGGGGAACAGTTTTTATTTCAATTGGAAAAAAGCCTTCACAAATAGGTAGGTCGTTATTTATATATTTTTGAATAGAGAGAATTTTATTGGCTTGGTAGTTTGGGCAGGTTACAAAGATGATTGTTTTTTGTTTTTAAATTGCACAGATACAGACAAGATAAAAAGAAATGTCTCTTGGATATGTCCATGTCACTTGATAAAGCCATTTAGAGCGTTGACTGGATGAAGACAAACTGATGTTCATAGCACTGTCAGGCATACTTGCAGAGGTTCAGAAACCATTGGCTACAAATGTTCGTCGTGCTGATTTTGTGAAATCTTCTGTACCTCTGAGGAAGTTTATAACATGCATCATTTTTGTCAAAGTGCCAAGACTTTTATTGCTTTTTTTTGGTAATGAATAACTTAAGCTTGAAATTTGTCCTCCCAGAAACCGTCCTTGCATTGGCATCACTTAGAAATGAAGAAAGAAAGAAAAAAAAAAAGAAAGTATTGATTGGGAAAGAAATGTGGTTGTTTTTTTTTTTTTTTAAAGGAAGATATATTTAAACTGATTTAGATTAAATAAATCTCAAACTCTTTGAAATTATGCTTATTGGTAGCTTCCCAGAGTTTGGGAAGCAGTATCTTTTAGAAGGATCTCCTATGTTTCAGAGAATCTGAAACCAGGTAACTTGCTACAGTCTTTTGGCGTAGTGTTACCACGCAGATTTGTTATTTTAAAAGAAGAATTTGCCTTTCTTGATCTGGGTGTCTTCTAATCTTCTCTTTTATCTAGTTAATACAGAATGAAATCTAGTTGCTACAGCTTCACTTGTAAACTAAAGAATGTGTTTCTGGTGATGATGTTTTATTTTTCTCCTGGTTCCTGTCGTGAAATATGGGGGAAAAACTAGGAAGAGATTTTTTTCCCCCTATTGCATTCAGATATTTTTAAGTGCTAGCCATTTTTTCACCTATGTGTACTTAATTTGCTTATTGCAGGCAGGTGTTTAAGCAATCTCATAATTTAATATCCACTTACAAGTAGAGATAAGCTGTTCAGGTTAATATCCGTTAGATATATTAGATAATAGAGATAAGCTGTTCAGGTGTGTACTTTTATTGAATGCTTAGTTTTGTTACTGAGGTTCTTCCAGCACAGAGGTCAAAATTTTCCTTAACAATTAAGACTGCAGTAACTAGCATAAAAAAAAATGTTAACGATAGACATATAAACAGGCAGGTTTTATCATTATAAGCTTCGTCTCTATGACCAGACAAGGTGTAATTGCTGAATAGATTTTCATATCTTCCGTTGTACACAGTTGTGATGTGGTGTTTGTGTCTTCAAATGAGGAGTGTTCTGTGTCCCAGTGTTTTTTAGAGTTTGAATCTAATTGATGTCTGAACATAGTAAAAATGGTTAATGAGGAGTAAACAGACCTGTAAAATGAATAGTTAGATAGTCTGTATTTAAGAACAAGGAAGAGTGAAAATACTCTATCGTTTTAAAGGAGAAGCTTCTTTAAAGCACAACTAGTGATCTGTTCAGGCGATAGAACTCTGTTCCTGTGAACGCTTTCTCATTTCAGTGATTTGAATTCAAGTTAGGCCTGAGAGTTATCATAGAATCACAGAATGGTTTGGATTGGAAGGGACCTTTAAAGGTCACATAGTCCGACCCCCCTGCATTGAGCAGGGACATCTGCAACTAGATCAGGTTGCTCAGAGCCCCGTCCAACCTGGCCTTGAATGTTGCCAGGGATGGGGCATCTCCTACCTCTTTGAGCAGCCTGTGCCAGTGTTTCATCACCCTCATTGTAAAAAATTTTCCTCCTCATATCTAGACTGGATCTACCTTCTTTTAGTTTAAAACCATTACCCCTTGTCCTGTTGCAACAGACCCTGCTAAAAAGTCTGTCTCCATCTTTCTTTTAAGCCCCCTCTAAGTAGGGCTAGTGACTTACGTGTTAGTTCCTTGTGCTGCCAAATGCAGTGCTGATTTGGCTCAGCCATCTAGCTGGTTTTGAAGGCCAATGTCAAATTAGGTCTCATACTTCTTCTCTGAAATAATTTATTAATCAGTCTTGTGCATGATGTGGAAAATATCTCTAGAGAAGTCAGGATGAAAAATGTTTGCCTCAGTTTTTTCTGTATGCATTTGGGAGTTCTTTTATGTGCAGCTGCTCGTGCAATTTTACGCTGTAGTGCCCATCAAGTTTTCTGTCATACAGCAGCAGCAGTTTCCTTTATTTAGACAAGAAAATACAATTGAAAAACAGCTGCAAGAGGTGAAAGCCTAATTATTCTACAGTATCACTTACAGCTTTGCGCTTACTTTAACAGATACTTTCAGTGTATTTTTAAGTGAAGAGGACTAAGTTGTTAAACTTTGCCGTTTTATCAGAGATGACAAGGCTGGCCTTTTTTGGTAGTTATGTGATTGCTTTAATCTAGAGTTTCCAAGGCTTTTGAGTTGCACTGATAATCTTTGTTTTGAGAGGATAATTATATTGCTGCTTAGGAAAACTTTTGATGTGCATTTAAATAATTACAAATCTGTGAAGCTGAGGAAAACCTAAAGGTTTTAGTACAACTGGAACTTGGTTTTGTCCCATGGCGGCCAAAAAAGGCATAGTATTTTGCCTTAGGCTTAGTCCTGTGTGCTTTGATATCAAGAGCACTTCTTCTTTTTCCTGATACTTAACGAAACCATATTCTTGTGTATGAATGGTGGGACTACTGGAAAAGTGTTTTCTTAACCTGCTTGTATATGGTGACTGAGGTGTGTTTCAAAGCTTATCTTGAGCGCTAATTGAAAGGGTTCGCTTTGCAATGGAGGGAGTTTTTCTTTTCCCTTCTTTTGCTAGAGGCACTATTGGTTTTCTTTTTCATGTGATGATGGATTTTTTTCATCTGCTGCTACAGTGGACTTTTCAAGAAAGCATGGAGATCCAAACCACTTTTGTCCCTCCAAAATTCTGTATGTTTAAGCTCCCTCAAATCTTCTGAGATGTAATTGCAGATAAAGCAAATTAAACTAGAAGTCAGCTTAGCACACAGTGCTTTATGGCTAAGAATAATACCTATTGAATAGCTGTTTGTTTTGTAAACCTAAATGAGCTTATTTTGTGTGCTTACAGATTGTACATATCACAGTATGCTGCACACATGAATGAATAAAAATCATGTTTCCACTTCAAGAGAAGTTAAAATCAGCATTTAGATTACGTACTTTTTTTCTAATAGATTCTCAGTTGTTAATTATACTTAAGAGATGTAGCTGAAAATCTGTTATCTTGTGACATTAAATGAACCTAAAATTTGTAAGCACTGTGGGTTTAGGAGAGTTAAGAATTTTTTCATTGCCTCTAAAATATTACTGTTCTTACTGGGTAGTATTGCACTTTATTGCTTATCAGCTAGGCATTTTGTCTGTGTCTGTATACACAACTATATGTGAGTATATATGTGTGAATGAGATAAGTACTCTTATATGCTGTTTTTTCTTTCAAGTATTTATTGCTCTCCTCTTAAAGTTAACACGATTCCGTATCTTAACGTTTGCCAGGTTGCTTTATGATATGGCGGTTTGTAGAAGAAATGCTGATGTCATATTTGACTTTCTCAGTTATTGATATCTACTTACATTTTACATGTCAGTTAGACCTTTAGGTGACTAGACACACTTTTCAAGAAATACTGGTACAGCCTAGATGATGACAGCTTATACAGAATATCTTACTGTTTTTCCACTAACAAGAATGGGGAAGGTGACAGCTCTTCTGCTACCTCCTTTCAGCACTGTGCATTGGGAATGAAGTACTTATTTTAGGTGATTTTTCATTGTCTATTTAAATCCATGCAAGTGTAACATCTTTTGGAAAGGTATTTCCAAGTAGGCAAATGTGAAGAGTGCTTTACACTTGCTCTACGCCTAAGTACTGTGTTGTAACTCTTCTCCTTGAAACTACTGGGGTTTTTGTTGCTTTTCTAGTTATGGTATAGGCTTTCCAACTCTTAAACAAAAGAAGGCATCACAGTTTGCATGTGTCGTTGCCAGCTGCTTTTGATGTAAGAAGGTCTGGAGGCTGGGAAAGGAACAAAGTGAATTATTTCCTTAGCCAGGTGCATCTCATCTGTCAGCTCATAAGAATCAGTAGTTTGACATTGTCAGGTTTGATTCAGGTCAGTAGCTCTGTGCTGAGGTGCTGTGGTCACTCCTGTGTGTTGCACCGGTATGTACGTGGTAGTATGTGGTCAAGAAGCTCAAGGTGGAGATGGTTTAGGAAGTTAGGTCTTCCTTAGAAGATGTATGTCTTCAGTTACTGTGAATTTCTGTTGCAATGGCAATTCACCATTGACCAAAAATATTACAGATGAAGTTAGTCTGTTTCTTACAAGACAGGTTATTCTGTCTGCAGAGTCTTTCCCTCAATATCTGTTCAAAGAACAGGTCCAGGTGAGGGGGAAACAACTGAGTAATACCCCTTAATAAAAGCTCTACAGGTAGGGTAGCTTCAGGGAGGGAACTGGCAGTAAGAAGTTACTAAATTGTTTAAAAATCTTAAGATTATTGTCCATCACTGCAAAAAATCTAAACTTCAATAGGGGCATGTATTCACCCCTCAGATTGCCTTTGTTTTAACAGGCTCAGTGTTCATTAAAGGTAAATAAATGCAGCTGAATGCTTGCCTTGAAAATTCAAGTGGTTTCTGCTTGGACAGTTTTTTACAGTATGTGTGTAGTTTTGGTAATGGCCAAGAGAATGAGTTCCACAAAAAAAACAGAAGGATTGCTCCAGTAGTATTCTGCAGGTTTGTTCCAGTTACATTGAATGCTTTAGCGAATAGGCGAACAACTGATGTAAAGTGTGGAAAAACCTTTCTCCCTTAAGATATCCCTTCCTCTAGTAAATCTCTCAGATAAGTGTTCCAGTATCTTATTTTTGTTTAAGTTGATGTTTTATTGCCTTTTTAACTCTTTTGCACGAGTTGTCCAGATGAATTCAGTTGTTCTACTTCCACGTTATTGTTGTAACACTAGGAGATTTGTCTTGAAACAGATTTTTTTTTTTTCCCAGCATTTAAAACCCACCTATGAATAAAATGCAGACAAGAAATCTTACCATTAATTGCAGGCTGGGAACTGAGAATTAACACCAAATGGTACATTAGGTATAGAGGCCCTCAAGGAACTCATGAATAGAATTTCCTTTGAGGATTGAAGAGATGAATTTATTATTAATGCTAGGTGGGTCAAGATAATTGAATCCTAAAAATTTTAATGTAGTTCAGTTTTGTATAGACTTGTATATATCACTTATTTCCACAGCTGATTAATTCTGAGTAGCTGTCCTCTGAGAGTATTGATGAATCAGTGAAGTGGATAGCTGTACTGGTGATTTCTTATTGTAACATACCTATTTTAATGGCTTAATCACTTTTAGACATTGGTCAAAATGTTTTCTTTTGTTATAAACATGATGTCCAGCCCTAGTTTGGTGTTAGAACATTTATGAAGCTCTAAAATGGAGTGGTTGTTGTACAAACTCTGGATCAATAGGGAGATATGCCTGTAGATACAGAAAACAAAAAAATACATGCCTGCGTGTAAGTAGGTTTGTTACCAATAGTACCACATGCATTCTTAACTTCAAATACATGATTTTTTTGTTGTACAGGAATGTTCTATTTAGTATAAATACAGTCACCAAGGAAGCACTTTACAGGTCAAATGTTCTACAGCTTTTTTTTCTACAGCTGTTTTTATTCAGGGAAAAAGTAAGTTTACTTTATTTGCTATTATGAAAAACAAACTTGAAAACTTCTATCTTATTTTCCAGAATAAATTTTACATAGAAACCAAGCTTAACAGAGACTTAAAAGATGACCTTATAAAGCTGTTTACGGAACATGTTGCAGAAAAGCACATTTACAACCTAATGCGTAAGTAAACCTGTTGAATTTTTCTTATAATGGGAGTCTGGAAAACCGCAGTGCTTTCAGATATTGCAGAAATCCACAGCACATAGGGACAAAATGGCAAATGATTAGTGAACTGAAATACGAATTCCTTTTTAAGGCATCCACATGAAGATGGATTTAATTTTAAGTTTATGCATTTTTCAGGCAATGAAAACGTCAATGCGATTTTTTAAATGACAATGCTAAGGTAACACTGGTCAAATCTTTAGAACATAAGTAATGTCAGATGTATGTTGCTATGTAATTAGTTTTCTGTGGATGATAATAAGAAAATCAAATAGAAATTGCAGATGAGCTATTGCAAGGAAAAGACCTGTTGTGTGTTTGTGGGGAAAGTCTGAAATACTTCTCCCCAGCTCTGTGTTAGTTGCAGAAGTAAAATTAGAAGAAAATATTGAAAAATAAAAATGGGCTGTCACCAACGGTGTTGCTGTATATGGGATCTATTGTTGAATAGCAACTTTCTTGGATTTCGTTTCAGTCTTACTGTCAGTTTATTAAAACGAAGTGATTTACTTTTTCTCTTACTCCTAAGTAAGACAGTATATACTGATACATATAAACTCCTAACTGTGATCTGACTTGGTTAAATCTTGGGTAATAGGATCTTTAAATTGAGTTAAAGTATGCCTAAATAAAATTCTGAACTTGCAAAGGATTCCTGGGAAATAACTGAAGACACATAGCACATGATACTGTACTGTACAGGTGCTGAAAAAGTTCTAGTGTTGTGTTTTCTTCTGTTCTCAGATGTTTTTTCTAGCTTGCTGAAATTCAGAGCATCATAGATAAGAATATTACCTTCTTTTTTGGAAGCATAAGGGCTCTATGAAACCAGGATACAAGTCAGTGTGTGTCAATTACCTTACTTCCTGATGTCGTTGTCAGTGTGTGGTACTGTTTCCTGATATTTGATGTGGATTCGCTTCAACAGAAGAGTGTTTTTGTATTATGAGGAGGGGAAAAATAAGGTTTTGAGAAATGCTTAGGAAATTAAAGTCAATGAAATTGTGATCTATATAGAGAAGTGAAATTCTGGGGCTGTTTTTTAAGAGATACTACAGCTGGCATTTTAGTGAGAGGAAACATGCCTTCCCTCTATTATAAAAAACAAACAACAAAATTTAATCAGTTTGTGATCTAGACTCAGAAGACAAGAATAACGTCTGCTCTTACTCTTGAAATTTGTTGCCATGTTTTTCGTACAAAGGGGCTTTTGTTTGTGGTATCTTGTCATTCTGTCAGAGCCTGTCTCTATTTGAAGTTGTGTTCGAGAAGGACTGTAGGTACATTTCATGTTCATTTGATTTAAGAAAAAGTTCCTGCTCTGCTTCAAATGATGAGGAAAAAAGTGTCAGAGAAGCAGTGCAGCACAGATCTCTTCCTTAGTGTTTAATCTTGTGCAAACTCTCACTGTCGGCCCTAGTCTCTGTGCTGTGTGGTTGAAGGCAGGAAGATGCAAAACCATCTCCTGGTACGATGGTCTCTGTGGTGGGAGCACTTAGTTGCAGAAAATAAGAGTTGATTAAGGTGTGAATTCATTATTTACAGAAGAAATATTGCCTAAGTGAACTTAACTTGGATAAATTTTGCCTGCACGAACAATTTCGTTCCATTTTTTTTTTTTGGCAGAGGAAATGGTTTTAAAAAAATGTTCTACTAACTAGAGCACTTCTGAGCAGTTAAAGTAAATACGTAAATTATATAATACACAGCTCCATGAACATAGTTGTGTTTGTGAAATACTTTTACACTCAAACATATTTATCCAGTCAATGCTTTTCAAATTAAAGTGGATACATTTGAACTAAGTGAATATAACCCGATTATTTTCCTTACAGAGCCAAAGCTGGCTCTTGCCGATAAGACTGCTGTATGAAATGGCTTGGGAGAAGTTGCTGTGTGCAGAACTACTTAGCTGAATGTAACAAGCAAAGATACAGCATCTTATTTACAAGATGCTTGACAAATGAGGAGGGGGGGGAAAGATGCAGATAGTACCCCCTTGTCACTAGGGAAGGGGGTGGTGGAGAAGGTTGTCTTTGTTCCTGCTAGAGTCCTGCATGAGGTGACTTAAAGCAGTAAAATTCAGAAGTATGTGTTATCTCTCCTTATGCAGACAGTGTCTCTTCTAGTAGGTTAGACTCAGGTTTCCTGGACTGTAATCTCAGTGCCCTGGAACATCCTGCCTGTTTGTTCTTGTGTCTAGAAGAATGGCAATTATTGCAAATTTTGACTGTCTTCAGTGGTGAAAATGAATAACAGCTCCTGAAACTCTCTACTTCTAGTACTTATAGTAGGTAAAATTCAATGGCAGAGGGTATTTGCAAGTAACTGCTACTCTTCTCTTTTTGGATATTGGCATCTCACTGCCTAAAAAAAATCTTGGTTTTGAATCTAACCAAAAAGAAAAGCTTGGATACAGCTGTGGTGAAGAGATCTTGCTGCTCCTTTTTCTTAGTTTTTATTTTTTTTTCTGGAGGTATATTATAGTTCAATAGAAGGGCTGTTTATGTTGGAAAAGGTTTTCTTTTTATAAAAGTATCAGGAAAGCTATTTCCATGGTGTTGATGCTTTCTGAAAAGTTAGCTTGGAAGTTGGAGAAGGTTGCTAACAGCTTTCTGACAATGAAGATGTGCAGCTGTCCTTTTTTTTTGCCACAGGTACAAATTTAATACAAAATTACAAAGACTGAATCAAGTTAGAACTGTTAGAGTTTGATAAATGTAGCAGGGAGCATGTTTCACGTGCAGATGTTTTCCTGTTTGTGCAGTGGATGAGCAGGAGAGGGTGTGTTGCTCTGTGGGCATCCAGACCCACATACTTAGCAGATGCGTTTTGCTGTGTTGACCTCCAGAAGCCCGTTGATCTCAGTGAAGCAAAGGACCCTCGTCTCTCTGGCTGTGAACTGCTATGACATAATGCTTCTCGTTAATAAATTCCACATCTAGCTTTGGTTTGTGAATAGCCCAGGAGAAGAAGAGCAGTGCAAAAGGCTGAGAGAAGGACTGTGCTTGATGCCAGGTTCATAGCCTGACTGTACAGCTATAACAGAGAACACGGGGGTTTATTTTGATGTGTTGAGTTTTTTATTCACTCCCCATCCCTCACCCTGCAGAGATAGACAAGAAAGAGATGGATTGAATTGACTTTTTCCCTGCTCTCGTTGGCATTTCTTTTTTCCCCTGTGCATTTCGACATCTGTCTCAAGTGATCTGCATAGGAGATGCAAGCTGTCATTGTCTTGACTCACAAACTGCAGAGAAAATTCCCTGGAAACGGAGGAAAACAGTCTTGTTATTTTTCAGCTTCTTACAGAAAGCCTTGCCGCCACCCTTTTTGTATGCTGCCCTTTTGGATTTACATTCAAGAAGTCGTTCTTCTTTGTGCTTCTCATTACCATGTCAAATCTAATGCTTACGTTTCATAAGGAAACAGTAGTTAGGTTCATAAATGAACTTGTTCTTGAGCGGCTGTGCTGAGTTGGGTCAAAAGTTAGTGTAGCCCAGTGTCCTGGTCTTGGCAAAAACACGTAAAGCATCATTATAGATTTGGTGCAGCAGAAATTTGATGACTGTGGTTTTATATCTTGAAAGGTATGTGAGACCTGAAGGTTTCCTTGCATGGTTTAGGCTATGTCTACATTAATAAGTGGTGTCTTGTACAGGGAGCAGATCTACAGAGCGTGAAAGCCCTACGTGTTGGTGCTGAGGATCCAGTGTTCACCTTTACATGTGTTTTGGAGAGTTTTATTTCACGCTTGCTAATGTCTGGTCCTGTGGACAGAATGTTAGTAGTTTGAGCACATCTGGTTTAGTCTTGCCCAAAAAGAATTAAATTAATATGCTCCAAGGCAGCTCTGTCCTATGAACCAAGGAGCAGTAAGTGGGGATGATCAGTGAATTTGCTTCAAAAGCACATTTCTGGTCTGAACTAAAGCGTTAATATAGAATCTGCCCTTAAGCGTTTGAAATCACTGTTCTTTTTTCTTTGAGACATAGAGTGACTACTGTGATGGCAGAAGCAATATGTTCTTAAAAAAATGTCCCGTTCAATTGCTGCAGCTCTTTCTTTCTGTGATATATTGGATGTTGCTCAGCCCCTAGACACTGCTTTGCTGACTTTTTTCCTTAACGTGTTCAAAATCAGTACGAGAAGAAAACCTGCACATCCTTACTCTGCCACCTTCCCAAGCTATGTTTCTTGCTTTTTAAGTTTAAGGATGATACGGAAAAATAAAATGGTAGGTTTTTTTAAAAAAAAAAAATAGAAGAAGAAGAAAAAGGCAGAATCACTTGCCTGTGGAGTGACTTGCTCCCTGTCCTTAGAGCCAGCCTACATGTCTGGATAGGTAAAATGAAATGAGAAGATTCCTTCCTGAGGGCCTTAAAAATGAAGCAAGGTAGCAGAGCACTAGGAGAAAATTGTGATGCATCCTAGACTAAAGTGGAGTGATTTCTGTTAGAATTCCTCTACAACAAAAAGCTGAGTTACTTTTTTCCCCATCTATAAAGCTGATGTGTTAATTATCAAGTTCTTAATTAAAAGTAATTTTTAAAGATTTTTGTGCATCTGTAAGATTTGTGAATCTGTTCAGTGTTTAATTTCTGTTTTATTCTACATAGGCAAATAGATTTAATCTATTAAAAAAGATGAAAATAAATTTAAATCGATTTAAAAAATTTAGTTCCATTACCTCCACTTCAGACTACATTCTAACCTTATTGTATTTTTTTCATGTTGATTAAGTTTCAGCACCTCAATGTAAGGCAGTTTTTAATTGAAAAATATAGTCTCAATGACTGTCATGTTTAATCTGGCTCCTCAGTAAAGAAATAGGAGTAATGTTCCCATTTCAATAAGCCTTCATGAAATTGTAAACATGAAAATATTACTTTATTTTCCAATTATAGAAGTCTAAAAGTCTATATTTCTACATTTATAGCTTTATTTTTCATATT